CTCATCCCCGGCTGCCGCCGTCCTCGCCGTAGCCCTCCGAAACCAACCCCCCGGTATCTCTCTTCTGTTTTTGTTTGTAGGGATCCCTTTGTATTTTGTGGATTTGCAGGATGACTTAGATGATTGTGAGTAACTGTTTTTTTATTTTTCTGCTCCCTATTTAGGCCCTCCCCCGCTCTCCCACCCCGGGGTTCTTCTGTCGCCCTCCTTCCCCCTCCCCATTTTTATCCAGGCTAGGGTGAAGGGAGAATTTTGAGGCTGTTTGTACTTGTAGGTGGAGGCTTATAGGAAGATAGGGGGCACGAATTACGAGCGTATTTGTGTGTCCGCAGGAGCGCGGTGCTGACAGGGGAAGCGGGCTCGCTCCCTCCCTCAGCTGCGGGCCCTCGCCTCACCTGGCGTGTTTCATTAGCCTTTTAAGTGCTGGCTGCCGGGTCGAGCCGTCGAAGGACGGGCAGGCTTTTGAAGCGACGTTTTGGGGGGGCAGCCGCCGTCCCGCCGGGGAAGGAGGACCCGCGGGCGGGAGGCAGGCCCGGGGCGGCGTCTGGAAACCGGCCTTCCGAGAGACCATCCTCGCTGTTTCCAATGGCCGCTGAACTGTTGAATTCAGCGTAAACAGCACCTCCAGCAATGGCCGGCGATGACCCTCTAGGAAAGGAAAACGGGTCCGGCCGGCGGTGGTTTAGGGCATTAGCTCCGCTGTTGTTGTCGGTGGAAATTAGCCTAGAGTAGCCGAGGGATTTCCTAGCTGCGATAGCTCAAACGGGTGAGGCTTTTAAATGCTGTCGAGGCTGCTGAGGACGCCGTGTGTTTTGCTGTTCCTGCATCCCTGCGGCACAGGCGCTCAGCAGGACGTTGCTGCGGTGGCTGCGTGTGCACCTCGGAAGCGGGAATAAAAGAAAAACCGCTGTTGTACTCTGGTTGGCTAATACAAGCCAGTGGTTGTAGGCTAAATACCGTGTCGTGGGTCCTAGAGCAGGCAACAGCTCCTCCTCAAGCCGGTATAGTCCAGGGCTGTGTTACAGGATTAGAGCTGAACACCTGTCGGACAGCTTGGAAAGAGGTGTTACTTGAGGAGATAAATCGTTGACCAATAATTCTATGAACTTGCATTGCTTTAGAAAGCAGCTGTATATGTGGGGTGGTTTCACTGGCACTTTGGGTGCTGGATTGACTTTTCTATTTAAAAAAAAAAAAGAAAACTGATACTTGAATTTGTTTCTTGTGAGAGACTATTTGTTTACTACAAAACCATTATTGTTTAATAGTACTTAAAAATTGAAAATGTGTAAAATGTGGATTTCACACACACATCACCACCACCCATTCTAGCATGAATAAGCTAATTTAGGGAGAAGGTGGTCTTCAGGAACACCAGGGGAAATGTTAGAATGTAAGTGAGATCTAAAGTATTCCATTGGAAAAATGCGCGGGGACATCGCCTCTGTGGGCGGGAGGTCATTCTGTGGGATTTTGTTAGTTGCTGCTCTTAGGTGTTGCTGCTCTCAGTCTTTGAGGTTTCAGCATTTCACTAGTAGGTAGCAGAAAAAAAATTATGTCGTTTGTATTTTGATTAAGTTTTAGAAGGAAAAGTTTGGGATCTTTTGCCATGTAAGTGATGTATAAATGGTGAGATTAATTGAGTATGTAAGAGTTCTTGGTTTGTTTTATGTTTGTATTTTTGTGTATTGCAAAGTATCTTTAATGTTTCTCTTATGCAGATAAATTGTAACTCTGTGAGTCTTAATGAATTTAAAACTGTAGTTAAAAAGCATCCTCCTTCCTTAATACAGTTATCTATTTGAAAAGCTACAAATCTAAAAAAATGTAGTAAATGTGGAGGATAGTAATACATAAGGATTTAAAATTTTGATAACACTATAAGAAGTTGCTTAAAAAGAGGTGCAAAACGTTATTGATTGCTGCAGTAAGTGTATCACCTTAGATGACAAAAAGCATGTAAGTATTGAATAGGATTTAAGTGAGAAGGAAATTAGCTGGTACATTTCAATGTGCTTATGCTGATTTGTCGTGAGCACCACACAGCTGCTTGCTCACTCTTCCCGCCCTTCCCCCACGGTGGGATGAGGGAGAGAATTGGAAGAGTAAAAGTGAGAAAACTCGTGGGTTGAGATAAGAACAGTTTAATAATTGAAGTAAAATAGTAATAATAATAATAAAAGAATATACAAAGCAAGTGATGCACAATGCAGTTGCTCAC